GACAGAGATGAACAAAAATACATAGATATCTGAATAATTTCTTTCATCCTTTTTTTCTAAAGGGACCCATTCTTCTGGTGAGCTGAAGCAGAGATGCTGTAGTTTGTTTCTAGAGCATTTATAGTGTTCCCTGAGGTAATCCAGCAACCTTCTTTTTGCTGATACTTCTGCTCCTCGCTTTTCTTCCTTCCTCACAGAATCACAGCTTGTCCTCTACCCCAACAACAACAATAAAACACAACCAAACACAAAAATCCACAATCAGACAAAGAAAAAAGACTGGGCTGATTCTGAATCACTTACTAAATTGATTAGTCTAGAGTATTTTTCCCACCATCTTTTTTACTTTCACTTTCCCCCCAGCTATTTAAAAACAAAGCACACAAAACAAACTAAATCAAATAAACACCAATGCAACAAAGACACACACACCTCCATCAACCACTTCTGTGCTCAGATCTCAACTCAAGATATTTATCCCCAAGTTGTGCCAGTTTAATTTAGATTGTCAACTTTTAGAGGCAAGGATAATATCTTACATAGATCTTGTAAGCTCCATATTCTTACACTATTCATTCTTATATTATTACTCATAAAATTTTACAACTGCATGACTAAAAGGAGAGAAATATCTAAATTTCCCTGAAGTTCATGACAATTTGGCACTAAATGCCCATTTCTCCATTGAAACAAGGAAGCCATTCTCTAAATTTATATCCAGAGCTCAATTCAGCTGAGAGATACACTTTCTTCTTGGGTTAGTCCTTCCTGGCCACTTCTAAACAGGTGAATTTTGTCCAGCTATTTCATGGGCTCAGACTTGCCTGTAGGAAGAGATTTGCCGAGTTTTACATAGAGGGGGCTCAAATACGTGACTCAGAGGTTATGCTGAAATTACACTTCTCTTGAGAAGCTTTTCCTCCAGGAGTACCTCACCAGGTGAAAGAAGAACTTTTCCCAGTGTCTCTTCATAGCTTTGAAGGGATCCATTTGTTTCTCCCCATTTTTCTAGGAGGACTAAACTAATTTCTTCACCCACATTCATTCCCATTCCTTCCCCATTACTGTGCTACTGCAGGAGCATTTCCATTTGCAGTTACATACCATTCCTAATGACATTCTTTAAGCTCTGCTATATAGGACTTCTGAAGAAATATCTGGAAATTATTTTAAGTTGATATATCAATATTTCTTCTTTAGGGATTTTGCTTTCCCCTTTGAAAGATTTAATCCTCTCCACAGCAACACAAATTCAGACTCTGATGCCAGAAAGGGTTTAAGTAACTGTTCTGTTAAGCAGGATGCAGAGTTTCTTCAAATGATTCTCATATCCAATCCATAACTTTTAGGCAAACAAAAGCTTGTCTTCCAGAAAAGTGCATTTTTGTTATCTTAAGGAAAAAACCACAATGCCAGTCTGCAGTGAGTTACTGACTTGCATGAGCCATTTTCTGCCTTCCTAATTCACTTGAAAACCCAGCAAAAAACCCCACACCTCTCAAGGGAAGCAGAGTTTGCATCTGAATTATTTTTCCAGGCACTTAAAGAGATAAATCAAGAACTTAAAAGAAACTGAGTCAATGAGTATTTCCCAGCAGCCTGCTTGAACTCTGCTCTGCAGGCTTATATAACTTCTTGCTCTCAGACACAAGGATGATGAGATATCCCCCAAAGGAAATCCTTCATGAACATCCCAGAGAAAAATCACAGACTGCACTACCCAGGGAAAGAGAACTGGAGTCACACGAGATTTAATTATTGACGTTTTCTTACAATCACATATCTAATTGTAACTTATATTCAGTAAAATGAGTTTTGCAAACCCTTCTAAGTAGTGCATAACCAATAACATTTCCAAAAAGGGTCTCAGCCTGCAGGAGTGATGGAGCTGCCAGGCTGCAGGTGTGTCCCATCCCAGCCAAGTGCTCACACATGGCCTCTGCCAGCTCCACCCCAGAACTGCCCTCTGCAGGGCTCAGCTTTGTGGGAACCATCCCAGCAAAAAGACAAATTATTTGTTTTTGAAAATACATTCCAGGTTTAGTAGAAATGTTTTGAGTTCACAACTGAAATTATTAAGCTTTCAGCTGAAATACTAATCTAATTTTTTTAAACTTGAAGTGAGATTCTGTATGGTGTCTGTCTCAGGCAGGCTTTGAAAGACTTTCCTGAGGTAACAGTGAATTAAAAAAAGGACATCAGTATCATCCTATGTTGGAAGAGAGGGGGTTTCTTAAAATTTAAACTAAAGTACTGTGAATCTGGAAGAGTGCTCATAGGCCTTATGTTGATTTGTTTAATGATTTGCTCAGAGTTTGTTTTAAAGTGTTACCATTTAATAGCAATCAGTATTTATATTTTAAAAAAACAATTCATTGTCAGAACATAACACAATCTCAGTTTGAGAAAAAAGGGAAAAAATACATGAAGTGACTGAATAATTTTCCAAGCTGGAGCACACAAACCATTCCTTCTTGCCCAGCTTTTAATACCAACAGCTAGATTTAAGAATTTTACATGGGAAAATCTGTAACTGATTAAAGATGCAATAGAAGAATTCAATACACTTATTAATAATTTTGTCCATCAGGCTTAAAAAATCTGAGAAGACAGTCTAAGTCTGCTGAGTTTGGAATTTTATGTCTGTCCTCTGTATTTTGCACACTGATTTGGCAGAGGTTCTAGGCCAAGTCCTGCATTATTTCCCCAGGAGTGGGAATTGTGTCTCACAGCTGCTCAGCGTTATAAGGAATCCTCCAAAATGGATTTATGCCTTAAATAGCACAAGGATATCTCTTCTAGAATTCATGTACTACTCAGTGTGGAATACTGCTCTTGGCTCATGAGGAAGCCTACATGTCTGGAGAAATGTTTTCACATTCTTTAACTCTGATACACAAAAAAATTAAAGAGAGCCTGACTCAGCATTCACAAAGTTTTACAGTAACTTCATCTTCTAATAATTACAGCAAATAATCTTTTAGGGTCATGTAGAAAAGGTACTCAAGAATGAAATGAAAATGCTCATACACTTCAACAATATTAATTTAATTACAGACCTGCATACTTTATACTACATATATACACACATATAAACTTTATATTATACATATATATATTTATAAAGTACAGAAAACATAGATAGTCCAAGGCAGAAAAGCCAAGGGAAGCCTTTGAAAGGAGAGAAAGGAGGAGATGGAAGGGACCTGCTGAAGCCACCAATAATCAGTGAATCACAGCCCCCATAAAACCCGCACAGAGAGGGCTGAGCTCACAGCCCCTGTCTCCAGAAAGCAATCACTGCCTGATTAGATAAAAATTATTACTGAAAGCTGCACCTTCGTCTGTGAGCAGTCAATGAGAAGCCAAGGAACAGCTTCATAAGCTGTGACAGCAGGAGACCCAAGCATGAGATGTTTGTCCAGCCCACACCTGCTTCCACTGGTACCTCCATATCAGACCCCTTGGACCCCACCAGAACAACAAGGCTTTATTAAAGCAGGCTAATAATAACTAATAACAACTTTAACTGCTCTCTTCTGCATTTTGAGTCAGCTGATGAAGGCATGTACAGGCCCATAAAGAAAACCCCACAGGCTGAGAAAGTCTCCACACCTTTTGGCACTGGAAAGCCCAAAGCAGACACCCCAGAGCATACTAATAAATGGTTACTTTTATGTGCAGCAGCAGCATTAAGTCTCTATCTCCAAAAAACCTTCCAATCCTATTTGTTTCACTAGAATAGTGGCTCTGATTTCACAATTTATTATATCATAAATGCAGCAATACAGAAGCAGGAGTAGAGAATTGTGACATAGTTTTGCACATGGATTAAAAGTTTACACAGTTTAAAACTCTATGCTGTACTGCAGCAATATTCCATTACTTCCAAATTAATTGTCCAAGCAATCCTAGCTAAGCTCTCCTGAGCAGTACAGAATAACAATATCACCACTAGGAGCCCTCTAATGAGGAGCAGCTGTGCATCTGCAACGATTAAAGAACCTGAACCCTCCTTGAGCTTTTTCCCTGGAAGCAGCCACAATCACAGGCTTTGAAGGCAAATACAACAACTCCAGAGAGCTTAAAAAGAGAGCTTTTTAGAGGGGAGGAACCACAGGAAAATATAAGGCTCTCTCTCACAATAGGATAACAATTTGGATGTACATACTTATCTTAAAGCACTTAAAGACTTAAATTCATTTTGTACGTCTGTACTCATCAGAAACTCAGAAAAAACCTCTAAAGGGCTGTGGGCAAACATCTCCTATTTTTCTTTCATAGGATGGGACAATAAAAAGCACAAATAAGGGGGTCATCACCCTGTTAAGATTAGCAGTATAGCTCTGTACAGCTTCCTGTCAGTGCAGTAATTCAGGAAATTACAGTTTCATAAGTGTATCAGATGTAAATTAAAAAGTATTTAGAAATTAAAAAGAAAAAAGAAGTGAAGACCTGTGTTTTTTGGGTTTTTTTGTGCACACAGAATAGACAAGTTTTATGAAGTTTTATATACTAACTACTTTATCCACTAGTTTTCAAAGGTTTCTAAGTTTATTAAGTTTTCTAAGCTACCTCATCACATTTTCAAACAACATCAGTTGTGGTATTAGCCAAGAAACAAACTCCAGTCATTGTGCACTCTGAAACTCCCAGGATTATAAAAGCAATACCTGAAGAACACAGTGAAATATGGGCAGAAAAACAGATATTAATCAAAGTCACTAACCTTATTTTCTCTCTCTCCAATTCCCTGACAAAAGAACTTGTGAGGTGCTCTGCAGCGTCTCCGCTTGCAGGAGTGAGGGGAAGGGGAGTGATTGAGGTGCCAAGCTGCAGGTGTGTGTCATCCCAGCCAAGTGCCCACACCTGTGCTCTGCCCCATCCCAGCCAAGTGCCCACACCTGTGCTCTGCCCCATCCCAGCCAAGTGCCCACACCTGTGCTCTGTCAGCTCCACCCCATCCCAGAACTGCCCTCTGCAGGGCTCAGTCTGTGCAATCTGTGCTGCTCACCTGAATCATCTCCCTAAAACAGGAGGGCAGCACAGGGCAGACACAGATATCTGTTCCCAGACACCAGAGTGTGAAATACTCACAGAGCTTTGGAGAGACTAAAGACTGGGGGGTTTTTATTTTTAGTTTTATGTTTGGTCTAACAAAGAGCTCACTGTTTTTAAGAATCTTACAATTTCTGAGCTTAAGTCCGTAGGTCAGCCCAGGAAATCCACTGGTGATTTATGTTCACTTTTCCAGACTCTACAGAGGAGAAAAACTCTAAGTATGAAGGACAAAAGAGTCTAAAGCTACAGAGACACGTAAAGCAAGATGTAAAGATAGAATTGTTTGGACTCTTAAAGTGATTAACTATTGCTTTTCCTGAGACCCTTTAAAAAATCATATAACACTAAAAACACCAGGGATTTTTGAAAATAATTTAGTTCAGGTCTGCAGTCCAAATATAATGCCAAATTTTCTATAAAACACAACTAGATGGGGCCTCTTTTCTTTGTTGATTTTCATGGAAAATATTTTTTCAAGATTATTTAGTATTTCTGATACCTGCAGCTAAAAAACCCAAACTGATGAACTGACTACAACGCATATTCCCTGTTCTTTGCCCTGTGAGGGGAGGGAGGGAGGGAAATTGGGGGTGAAGCTGGAGCCAGAAGAAGGGATGGGCAGAGGGAATGCTGAGCCTGGCTGAGGAGGGCAGTGCCAGAGTGGCTTTGGTGGGAGCTCCCCTGCCTGGCTCCAGCAGCTCTGCTGGTTACAGCTGAGGGCCATGTCAGGACTGCCATGGAGCAAAGTGACTTCAGCGTGGATAAATGGGTGAAGTTTTCTGTTTTGCTTTAATGGCAACTTTTGTGCTGCTTTTGCCTCTGAATTATTGCAAGACTCAAACCCAGAAAATGTAGCAGCACACTAGAGTTGTGTGTCTGACAAATGAGCAAATCATGATCTCTTGGTGTGAATGGAGTGTGCAGGTCCACAAAAAAATCAGTGAGATGTAAGATTAAGGCAAGATTGATGTGTAATTGCATTTAGACAGACATTTGCTGTTTGTCACTCGAAGGCTGAGCAATGATTTTCCAGATGAAAACATTCTGTATCTGTCCTCTGTTTTTTATCAGAAATTCATAGGGTGAACATTTAATTTTAGTTGAAAAGAAACTTGAGAAGTAAATAAAAATAAGGTGATACAAATATTAACTCTTAAATCTATTCATACATAAACATGAGGAGATACATTCAGCACTAATGACATTCTTCCTGAATGAATATTTATCTTCTCATTGTTCATTTTGTTGACATGACCATGAACTAATGTGGGGGGCTAAAGATTCTGTATGACACCCTCAGGTGTGCTGGGACTAACTTTAAGTGCATACATTTCCAAGCTCAAAGGGTGCATGAAAAACAAGTCAAGGAGGGAATGTGCATTCTAGGGTGCATTAAAAAATCATTGGCATTAAAAAACCAATATTAATGGATGCAAATGTTCACTGAGAAGGTGATAATGGGTCAAACAGCATGACTAAAGTGTAAGGTTCCCTGAGAAAGAGTGATGGATAGTGCTGAAGACCAAAAACAAAAAACCCATTTGGGGTTTTTTTTACCTTTTCATCTTTGTGATCTTCCAGTATTGTGGGGAAATGTTTCTGTCAGTTCTTTGTATGAACAGAAGTGTTCATTTCATGTGTGTGAAATGAGTTTTGCAGGCAGAATCCAGTATCAGTGCCCCTGCTAGGTTGCTTCTAATTGACCTTTTTTTTTGTAAATGCAGGGGAAAAATAAATCTAAACCATCCTATTTGGTACTTCTTTGTGTCTGACCTGTTCAGAAGGAATTAAGAGCATGCTGAATGTGTTGATAGAGCACAATTTATTCTTTGTAGAAGCTGAAAAGATTCAGCATTCACTGTGAATGCTTTTGCTGAATGTGAGCTCCTGAATCGCTTTTTTTGTGTGCAATGCAGCAGGAAGTTCTCCATTTGCACTTAATCTGTGTTTATTACATACCAGAGGGCCAAAATCAACCCAGTTATAAGCAAATAAAATCCTGTTGATGCCAGGGAATTTACCCAAGTGCTAAGCTTGTTACCTAATATTCTTTACCAGGTTGGTTAGCAGAAATGGGCACTTGCTTTCTAAGAATGTTGACTGCAGGTTTTTTCATTTCTTTTTAGTTTATCATGCTTTTAAAACCTCTCAAAATGATCGTGAGAGATAACAGACTACACAGACTTGCCAGACACCACTGCTGGCTTTGGGTAAGCTGTTTAGATATTACATTTAGATCTTTATGTTCTTCCTTTCATCTGGTAATAAGATGTTTACAATGAACCATTTTCTTCCTCAGGCCATTTTCCATGAGATGAAGTTGTCCACAAGCAGGAAAGCAGCACACCATTGCCTCTGACTACACAACTGCTAGTTTAGATAAGCTTTGCTCTGATAGAAAGTCATCAAGCTTGTACTGTTTAATTTTTTCCTTTCAAGACTGAGTGCAGCACAAGGAGCGATGGAAGCAGGAGGAACTGAGGGTGGGGAATATGGTGACAATTCTGGCAGTGAATTCAGTACTGCCAGCGTTTTGAGGCTACAATAAAGATTCAAAAATCTTCATGTTTCATGGTATTTTGATGCTTTGTTCCCATGATGTCTTTTCCTTGTATGCTCTGACTAATTAAATCCTTGGCAATATTTGCAAGGGTTTTCAAGCTGATTTTCATTCAGAGCTTAAATGCTTGGTGTAAATGAACTACAGGTACAGAAAACACATTCCATCTAAAATTTATCTAGGCTATGAGAACACTATTCTTCCTCAGGTGTGGAACAACTTTAATTTGTATTGCCTTTTTTTCCCCCCTCACTATTGCTTGCAAAGAACACAGTCAATATTAATAAGTAAAAAAACACATTCACTGGGACCTAGCTTAAGATGTTAGACATTCTGGGCAAAGATTCTAACGATTTAGGTGTTGGTCCCTCTTGAAAACTCCATCTGAAATAAAAGCAAGCAAAAACCCCAGCAGCCTGTGAAGAGCCTGGTGCTGGATTGTGTCCTGAGCTTGGTTCTGCAGCAGATTTCGGGGCACTGGAGCCAATAGAGCAGAGCACAGCTATTCCAGTCAGGCAAGCCTGGGACCTGCTGCTTTGGCTCACTGGGAATCAGACACAGGACTGGAATCATAACCCGGCTGGACATGCTGCAAACACCAGTGTATTTGTCCCTTGGCTTTCATAATTCAGATTATTTTTTTAAATATTCCTTTATTTTCTATTACATGGACAATATAGAGCTGGCAGTGTAGGAGTAAATTTGGGAAGTGTAATAATGCCAGTGCAAAACGATGAAGTTGCAAGGAGCTTTAAGACTGTGTTATTCTATGAAAAACAGTATTTGTATAAACAATTTGTGGCCCACTACTAAAAATGTCATTTTTTTCAAACTAGAATGTTAATGGTTGCTGCTTGTATAGTTAATTTTACTCTCAAATTAATTGGACTTCTCAGTATTGTATTACTTGTAGAGTAATTAGCCATTTTTCCTTTTTTCTTAATGAGTTATTTAAAGTACTTTATCCAGTTCCAAAGAAAAATCAGGATGTTTTCTCCAGCAATCAGGGTGCCTAGTTTTACACATTCACAATCCTGTTTTTCTCTGGAAATTCTAATGCTGGTTAATGGGTCTCTTTCATTTTGTGAAAAGTACTGCTATGGGTACTGCATCCAAATTACCATTTTGCTTGTTTATGCAAAGCCTAACAATGATGATCCTATTGCTCTGACCACATCTTCACAGAAAATGGTAGATAATGTATGCATTGTTTGTTATCACCTTAACCCATGAACCCATTTGGCGTGGGATTTTGTTCACTATGAAAATAATGTGTCTTTACAAAGGATTTAAGTCAGATTTAACCTTCTATCTCTATAGCAAGCAATTTTGAGTGGGAAAGAGCTCGTAAGTGAGCTGCCTTATTTACTCACAGAGATATCCCACCATCATGCACAGAGGTTTTCCTAAAGCAGCTGCTGCCATGGGTACATTTCCAAGGCTGAGGGTTTAGGATTTTAAGTTAGAAGCATTTGGCTGAGGAAACAAAGCAGACTAGGAGTTTAATGACTCTTTACAACTGAACATAAGAGGAGATTGTGGCCTGGTGGGGTTGGTCTCCCGAGTAACAAGTGACAGGATGAGAGGAAATGGCCTTAGGTTACAGCAAGGGAAGTTTGGATTGGACATCAGGAAAACAATATTCACTGAAAGGGTTGTCAAGCACTGGAATAGACTGGCCAGGGAAGTGTTTGAGTCACCATTCCTGGAGGCATTTAAAAGCCTGTAGATGTGACACTGAGGGACATGGTTTAATGCTGGACTTGGCAGTGCTGGGTTATCAGCTGGACTCGATGATCTTGGAGATCTCTTCCCTCTCAGATCAATCCAGTACCAGTTTGGCCAAGTGAAGCTGATGCTAACTGGTGGATTCGTTTGATTTCCTGACAGGAGCTTTGTCAGGGGTTGTATAACAGCATCCAGCCATTGCAGCAATAAAATATCTGTAGCTGTTACACATAAACAGCTTTAGTCACAATGTGCTTATCTGCACCGGCAGGGTGGTGAAAAAGAATCCCCTGCTTCTGCTCCAGTTTGTATTCAGCTTCTCTATGACTGTGATATTGATGCTCCCCCTTGAACTGCCTTCATGATTTGTTTATTTAGGTATGATAAGTGATGTCAGATATTAGGCCTTGCTTAAAGATAACAGCAAAGACAATCAGCTTCAAAAATGAGAATTGGCTTGAGCTTGCAGACCTTGAAATAACCTGCTTAGCCACTTCTCTCTATGTGAGGTGCCATGCATTACTTTTAAAGAAATATTAAATTTTATAATATCTCAGAATTTATATACTAAACTAAATGAAATACCTTATCTATCGTGATGCTTTGTGGTTTTAATTTTAGATTGATTGATCTTTTCCCTTGTTCTACAGGACAGTTTGCTACATCAGCAGTCAGTCCCTGGAATGACAATAGGATACCAGAGTAAGAGAGTAGAAATTCTAAACTTCTGGTGAAATTTCTTACTTCAGAAGCTAAAGCAAACAAAATCTCTCTGTCAGACATCTGGAGAAGTAACAATGTCAGATCTCACACTGGTTTGCAGCCAGCTGCACAGCAGTTCCAGAATGCATATTCCTATAGAATTAAATCTCCCCTTTCCACTGATTTTCAGGAGTGGTACAGAATTTTGCTTCCACCAGATTTAGTTTGAAGATGTTGAGGGACACAGCAAGATGGTGAGACACTTGTCCACATCACAATATTGAAAATATCCTCTATATGGGTGTCTGGATTGAGGATACAAAATGAAATTTCTTCTGAAGCCTTTTGTGCAGGTGTGGAAGGTCTGTGATCACAGTCCATTCCCTAATTGAACTCCAGAGAATAAAACTGCTCTCTCTTTCTGCCTGTTGCCTTTTGCACCCATCAAAAATCCAAGCAGAGATGTAGAGCAGCATCTCAGTCAGCATGTGTCACCAGGAGACCTGGCCACAAAGGCAGTGTGCCTTCAAGTTATTTAAGGGACAGCCCTGGAAGATGATATGTATTACCTCCTCAGATTTTCTTCAAGTTGTGAGCTGTTGAATCACTGCTAAGAGGCTGGAAAATTGCATCAGAAAAGCCTCTCAGGGAAAGGGAAGCACTGAAGAAAGACGAAGAAGGTGCAAACTACAGACTAAAACCGGCCCTCTGCTGCATCAGATGCATGAGACTACAAATTGTGTGACTGCAATCCAAGAGAAATTGAGTTCATCCAGCATCTGAATGCCTTGATGGACTAAAACTTCATCTGGGGGCATCCAACAGCACTCCAAGTCCTTAACAGTCCTGAGTAAGACAACTGAGTATCTGTAATAATACATAAAAGCGCATGAACCATCTGAATGAAAGATTTCCTTGGACTAAGTGAGGCATGCCCCAGTTTCATTTGATTTCCTGCAGTAGGTCTGGGAGGTTTTACAGCCCAGATATTCCCAGGCCCAGAAGCAGAGATTCCTTCACCTCTGGGATTTGCTGTAGTTTCATCAGACACTTCCCACAAACCCCACTTTGGTTTGGTGCACTCTGACCCCTCAGCTGAGTCCCTGGATCCCAGGTTTGATCCCTCAGCTGAGTCCCTGGATCCCAGGTTTGATCCCTCAGCTGAGTCCCTGGATCCCAGGTTTGATCCCAGGTTTGACCCCTCAGCTGAGTCCCTGGATCCCAGGTTCAAACTGCACAGTGGCTCTGGCAAAGCAGATGAGAAATATCTTGTGACATAAGAATTTTCCTTTATTTTGCCTTTAAAAGCTTTCCTTTCATGTGGCTGAGCAAGAGCTAAAAACACAACAAATGCATCATTGAAAAAAATAAATGTTTCCTTCTGAGGTCGTCTAAAAGATTGATTTTGACTTTGTCAGCTGGACAACCAGTAACAATCTCCTGTAACTATGGAATAACTGAGGAAATAAAAATAATTTAAATTTAAGTTTGTAGTTTGCATAATTTATTTATCCAATTCACAACAACTCAATGCATTTTAGAAACATTGCAGTTTCTCACGCATGCACTTTTTTTTCATTTTGGCATTTTGCTGCCTTGCTGTACTCTTTAAGGAGTCCCTCTAAGAAATGGCTGCTATTACTCTTAGGTGATGGAAAAACAGAAAAAAACAGGCAGAGTCTGTTTGGGGTTTTTTCCACTACTGCATGCAAGAGTTACTTTTCCAGGCAGTGAACATGGGTCTCATTTTATAATCCAAAAGAAAATGTCACAGACAAATTATTCTGTATTAGAAATACTGGGAGAATTCTCTTTTTCCTCACTGCCTCACAGGAGAAAGTGATATTATTTAACCTTGAGGTTTAATTATTGCCATATTTTTAGGGAAGCCTTGGAATTTACTTTTCACATTTTTTTGTGAACAGAATTCTATACAGAAGCACTGAAGTTGCATATAGACAGATAGTATTTTTGTCTCTGTATAACAGGCATAATTAGTCTCATCCATGCAATTATAAAAGCCAAAATACATTCTAAAAGCTTAGACATATGCTCTCTATTCAGTACTGATTCACTGGAAGGGTTTTTTCCCAAAAAAAATATTTTATTTAAAAACTGTCTGACACTGTTTGGCTCAAAACACAAAAAACCCTACAATGCCTTATCACCAAAAAAACCCCCAGTCTTTCCTGTAGGTGGTGTTAACTGTGTTTCTTTTTAGATTCAAATGATCTGACATTCAAAACTGTGGATGGTTAAGTGATTCCTTCAACATTAGTAGGATTAGCAGCACCTAAATGTTAAGAGAAATTCAGGCCAAAATTATGGATGTTTGTGTAAACTCTGCAATCTGCCTGTAATCTTGGTACCGGTAACCAAATGCAATTCAAGACAGCAATAAATCCACATTCACCTTTGAATTGTTACACCCTGACTTTTCCCATCTAAGAGCAATAGAGCAGACATCTTACTATTTATATGCTGATTTTTCCCGCCCCAGTCACAATTTTTCTAGAATTAAGGACAATTTTGTCATCAAATTTCTAGTATCTCTAAGACTAAGCAGTAATTCTCTTTTCTGAAATGTCAGCTTTTCTGCATCCACAAAATGAAAGATCACTTTCTTGCTAGCATAGAGATA